CCAGGGGAGACGGAACGCGGCTGCGCCTCGGTGTAAGAATAGCAACAACGTGCCGGTGCGTCCGGGCGAGGAGCGCAGCCAGCCCCGGCCGCCTCTGCGCCGTTGGAAACAGCGGTGTCGGTGCACCGGCTCCGAGTCGTGTTGTGCCCTGGTCCGCAATGGGAAGCGGTGAGATCTTGGTAACCTAATAAAAGCTTAAGGTACGCAGGGTAGAAAAGAGCGAAATACAGAAAGCGTTAATAAAAAACAAAGTTACAGTTAAGCGCTGACAGTGATTTTTGTCACAATTCTTGTGCAGAGTATGAAATTACTGGCACATATTTTCTCAAGGTCTGGAGCAGAACCAAGTTTTGACGAGACTTCCTTGCCAGTCACCTATGAAGCTCCTGATTTTAACGCTGCGCCTCTGCAATGAAGAAAAGGAGACGGCTCGCTCCAAATCTAAACGAAAAGGTTCATCTCGGCCATGAGAAAGATACTTCAGAACAGATTCTTGTAGTAGACTGTGCGCCAGGAATTGTCTCAAAGCCTGCAGCAATAGCTCCTGCAGATCAGCTTGAATCTTCCCAGGAACTTTCACCATCATCAGAACAAAGAAAGCTCCTAAGCTCATTGCAGTATAACAAAAATCTACTTAAATACTTAAATGATGATAGACAGAAACATCCATCATTTTGTGATTTACTCATAATTGTAGAAGGAAAAGAATTTAGTGCACACAAAGTTGTGGTGGCTGTTGGGAGTAGTTATTTTCATGCATGTTTGAGCAAAAATCCAAGCACCGATGTCGTCACGTTAGATCATGTAACTCATTCTGTCTTTCAGCATTTACTTGAGTTTCTCTACACATCTGAGTTTTTTGTATATAAAAATGAAATTCCGTTAGTGCTGGAAGCAGCAAAATTTTTAGATATCATAGATGCAGTGAAGTTATTAAATAATGAAAATATTTCTAACATACAGACTGATGTGGTAACTGATGCACCTACACCAGTAGAGACACTCAGTGAACTGACAGGTAAACTATTAAATAGCCATCAGTGCACTTTTTGTGGTCGAAGCTTCTGTTACAAGAAGTCCTTAGAAAATCATTTGGCTAAAGCCCACAGATCCCTTTCACTGGAAAGAAAACATGGGTTAAAAATGGTTGAGAAGGCCGACTTTTCCACTAGACGTTCTATGAGAAATCGTAAATGTCCAGCTAAATTTGATAACAGCGACAATGAAAGTGGTGATGCCTCTGACAGCAATTTGGAAAAAGTCAGTTCTGACAAGGAAACATCTGATAGAAGTGAATTTGAAGACAGTGAAAGTGAATGCAATGCTGATGAAGAGGGACAGGAAGAGGAGATGTCAGGTGAAGATTCAGAGTCTGAAGAACAAAGTGAAAAAGAACAGAATGACACTGAAGAGGGTTCTGAGGCAGTTGATTCAATGGGAAATATTCCTGAAGGCTTAGCTCCAGTCATCATTCAAAGCAGTAGCAAAAAACTACTGCAGTGTCCTAAGTGTGACAAAAAATTTGATCGAATAGGTAAGAACAAGTTAGGTTAATTTCTTTTCTTTTTACCATATGGTGGTGCTATTTGTATGGGAAATAAACTGAGCTTTTTCTGTGTCCTGGAGAGTGAAGATCAGAATTTCTGGGTCGTCTCACTGATCCACTACGCCGCTAGTTTTTCTGAATGTATGGAGCTGTTACATCTGTGGTGCTGAACAGTTTCAATAAATGAACTGAGTGCGTTACTTGAGAAATCTGCAAATGCTAAATTTGTTTCTCTTTCATTGTTCTGGGTTCTGGTTGTTAGTATGGTATATAAAAGCAGCATTGAAAAAGAGGGAAATATAGCAAGATACTAGATGATAAATTGTGTGAAGTCTGAAACTTGTATTTTCTGCCAAATTAATTTTAAGTAACAAAGCTGTCATTATTGCTGAAGTAAAACAGCACCATTGCCAAACAGCCTGAAATTCTTCTATTCTACTTGGTGTCTAGGTGCTTAAGACCTAGTCACTCTGACTTCTAGCTTGGTTTTTCTGGTCTGTAGTTAACGCCGAGTAATACTTTGACAGCTTAATTTGTTCTGTTAGGATCGTTCATGTTACAGCCAAATCTAGGTGTATAGTTATTCAGGGTATCAGAAGAGTCAAAATTCCAGCTTCTCTGTCCTCCTTTCACACATTAAAAGTAAATTACTACTGTACCCCAGAATTTTGGTGTTTTTTCGGCTGGAATAAATGTAGAATTATGGTCATGTAAGGTATTGACTTCCTTTCAATCATGGGAACTAGGAAAGAAACAGTTCCTCTTAGTGTTAGGCATTTTTTTGGTGTTCTTACAATAGATATGTTGGGTCTTTCATAAGTTTGAAATTTTAGGAGTTTACGAAAATGGGGTGGGGCTAGTGTATATATTAATTCCTACTCACACACAGTGTGCTTAGCTTGCTGAGGTGAAATGTATTTTCGAAGGTCACCAATTATATCATACAAGCTATTTAACAGTAAAAATGTGGGACTTAACCATACTTGTAATGTCATATCTTAAAATTAAAGCAACATAGGAAATTTTCTTGAATTTGGGAGCTGTGTTATTAATATCGAAAGGGTACTGTGCAGAAAGAAATGACTTGTGTGTATTTAGGGTTGTAATGGTGCATTTTGGTTTTGCACACATTGGAAGCCCGTTTTGCACTGTCATGACTTAGAATTCTAGTTTTGAGCTCAAAACATACATGAGAAATAGCATTAAAACAAGTGATACATAAAGTATTTCTTCATAAGCTTGTATTACTGTAGGCAATTGACTTGTATTTTAAATTAATGAGCTATAGTACTTTTTTTTTTTCTTTAACTCCCAGAAGTGTGATGCATATTCTACAGAGAAAAAAAAATACCTAGTACAAAGCAGAGAGCCTGCTATTGACTTTAGGTAGGTAGATCCTCAGTGTCGGACTGAATCCTATACTCGGAAGAAAACCTGCCAAACAGTAGAGGGAATACAAGCAATGTGAAAGAAATGGGAGAGTAGTATTTTTGTTTATGGTAATATCTTGGGTCTCAAATATAGATCATTTGAAAGGATGTGCATCATTCATTCGGTATTTTGTAATTGGAAAGTACCTTAAAAATACCAGTTTGTTGCAAGGCTGTTTGCTATTCCGAAAAGGTACGTCACAATAAGTGTAGCGAAAGAGTAGTAGCATACCTTTCAGTACTTAAGAACAGAGTATGCTGTAGGGTTGAACAAGGGGGACTTGTAACCCTTGCACAGATTTAACAGTAATACAGAGCCCTTTTATTTTTACTCTTTATCTTAAAAATAGTTAGGATGGAGCTGTGTGGAGGAACCTTGGATCAAATGCATGTGTGATTACTGTGCAGTTTTCAGTGGTGTAAAACAGTAGAAATCTTTGGATGTGCGTGGAAGGTACTAAGATCTTGACCTCATTTGAGAGAGATATTATAGAACAAACCCCAAATGTGTATATTGCAGGTGATGCCTGTTAGAGTTTATGCTAACAGATATTTCTTGTTGTTACTGTGTAGGCAAATATGAGAGCCATACACGTGTACACACGGGTGAGAAGCCTTTCGAGTGTGATATATGTCATCAGCGCTATTCAACGAAGTCCAACCTGACAGTGCACAGAAAGAAACACTCTAGTGATACTGACTTTCATAAAAAGGAACACAAATGTCCCTACTGCAATAAGCTGCATGCAAGCAAAAAGACTTTAGCGAAGCATGTGAAGAGGCGAGTATGAGCAAGTTTGTCTCGCGTTTCGGAAGAATAATTTTTTCAGTTCTAAAGTGAAGATAAGTATATGTATGCACACAGCACATTCTGCATTATTTCTGTAACTGTTTTCTCAAATAAGTATCTTTTCAAGGGACAGGGGGATTAGCAGTATCAACTAACTTGCTATTTCATCAGTCCCTATGCAGTCCTTATGGCAATAGTGGTTCTGTAGGAGTTCTACCACAGGTTTGTGCAATAAATTTGAGAATGCTCAGATTAGCTAGCACAGTCAGAACACAACAGTCTTAATAATTACCTGTGTTGCTTTTAATTTGGAGGAAGAATAAAATGCCGTCTTTGGTTTTATATGTTGATACTGTACTGTTGATAATAGTAGATCGATAAACCATTTGCATGTAGATTCTTTTAGGTGAATAATTTTTTATGACAGGTCTAATAATAAGGTATTATTATTTACATACAGCTTTTTTCCTGTTTTCATTGTGAATGTCTATAAAGCATTATAATAGAAAGTGTCCTGTGTCTTACCAATTGTCATATGAGATTCTACAAGACTCTATAGTCAACACTACTTGCCAGTTACCTGTGCCTTTAGAATTATTTAATTATCAGTATTCTGTTCAGCTGGCTTGGTGATCAACTTTCATGACACATAAAGTTTAGAAATGGGTATTTAGTATTTGGGTGATCTTCATCTTAGAAAGTGGTAACTACTTGCAGCTTCTGTCTTTCTTCTAGGTTTCATCCAGAGAATGTACAAGAATTTCTTTCTATCAAGAAGACAAAGAGTGAAGGTTGGAAATGTGATGTAAGTAATACTTCAGTGCTTTATTTTTTTTTATGTAGATACTATGTTTTTTTGTGACTTGAATACTTAAGTGAAAATATGGTATGTGTGTCTGTAACATCTCAGTAAATTTTGTAGGTGATGGTAGAAATTTCCTCTTTCTGTCCTAGCAACTGAACTTTATTTCATATGCACAGCTTGTGACCGAGTGGTTAATACCAAACTGAATTCTAAAATAGTTGAAGGCACTATTTTTTCATGTGATCAGCTATTAGCATTGATAAAATATGTCAGTTTGCAGATTATTACACTTCAGTGTTATGAATACTTTAAAAATAGAGTACTTGCTCTCCCATTAATTATGCATATCAAACACTGACTGTAAAGTATACATTTTTGGAAGGCTTTCTCAATAGTGAGGAATATATATGTTAAATATGAAACACTCTCTCATTTGGCTGCTTATGCACGTCAACAGAGTTGTAAATTTGTACTAAATTTATCTCTAGTTGTAAAATCATAGAATCCTTTCCTTGATTTTTCCCCGGGAGAGGTATATGTGTGTAGTACATCTACTGTAAAAAGGATTTTGTAGATCTTCAATTCTCTGTGTGTCTGCTGCCAAATAATGTTTTGAGGTTTCAAACGGGGAGTTTTGTTGGTTTTTCTTTAAGGGAATAAGTTTACTTTTGTTTTTCCCAGGGCAGCTCTTTTGTTTATGCAAACTGCTACATGCCCCTGTATGTCTGTAATACTAGGGGCTGTAACATGATTACCAATCTTGCTTTGTTTGTGAACTTTCACTTATAAACACATAGTAGGAGGTTGGGAGAAATCAACTGTAGGAATTTGTAGTGTTTGTCTGCCATGGTTGGAGATATTACGTGGTTGACCAAAGGGTGTTATCTTCCAGATGAAGTTATGTTGTGTGAACGTATTACAGATTCTGTTTGTTACTAGGTAAGAAACATTTCAATAGTGGGAATCAATTGTGCAACATTGTTGATGTTCATTTCTCAGAAAGTATTCTTAGCAGATGAATGATTTGGTAAACTCCACTTTGTGGTTTGTTGTTTTTTTTTTTTTTTACTTGAAAATTTTATGTTAAGCAGAAATTTTTAAAAAGTGAGCCGCTGCTCTTGTGCTGCTCATGTGTCTTGAAAATGGATTTGAATCAAAACTAGGGGTAGAATTTTAGCTTTTATAGCAATTGGAGAATGAGCATAACCCTTAGGAGCTGTGACTTTGTTTTCAGGTTGTTTAGTATGTTCTGAGCGCTAAGGTACCACAGATGTAAGCTGCAGGATTTCTTCAGGTTGTTGGTTTATGCTGTAGTCCATGTGTGGACACCAAGATTTGGTGACCATACTTTAATCCTCGAGGAATGTGAACAAATTCACAGAAACAGTAAAATATTAATAGTAAAGAAAAGCAAGAAGGATATTATACTTTTTACAGGTATGGGATTTTCTTACACCTGTATTTCACATTAATGAGTTTTTAAGCAAATAAAGCTGTTGCTTCTGATTTTCTGAGGCTAAAGGAGTGTTATTCGGGCATGTTCTGAGAAACTGATTGCACAATTTAATGTATGGGAGTTACGTAGTACTAAACTCAGCTATTACAAACAATGGCAACAGTTTCAGAGTGAAATCAGTTACCACCATGTTGATTTATGTTAAAGCATAGGTCCCTGATGTTAAATTGCGATACCTAGTTTAAATGCCTAAATTTGAGCTGTGGATTCAATTCTATAATTGAACTGCATGCTTTCTGTAATAACTACTAATAATTCTTGTACAGTTAGGTTTTGATTAATCTGAGAACAGTACTAAAAAGCTCACGTAACTTTAACATTGAAAAAGTCCTGTGTCTCTAAAATATATTTTGAGTTACCTTTCTTTGTTGGTATTGGCATTTTCTCTTTAATATGAGCTGTCAGAGAATTTCCCAGAGGAAATAAAGGAACAGGTATGACTCTAGTTCTACAGTACATTATACTACAACAACTTTTACCAGCTGAGCTGTTTCATCATCCAAAACAAAGCCAAAGCCATTTGCTTTTTATCCATTGGGTTATGTCCTGCTGAGTTACTGTGTTGAAACACCTTAGGAAAAGAGTCTGGTAAGGGCTGGAGTCAGTAGAAAGGAGGAGTAGAACATGTAACTCTATGCAGGAGTTGCCAATAGTTTGATTTAGGATGTCATGGATTGGCATCCTATTTTTTCTAGTGCAATCCACTGGGGTTTATGTAGAACACAGACTTTTTGATGTTGACTGCAAGGCTTTACAAGTTGGAATAGAGTATGCTTTTGAATAATATATGTTTAATCTTACATTGCTGCAGAGTAGATGAACTAAACTGTTAGAGTTTATGAACAGGAAAAAAGTCTGGTTATAACTGATGTACCTTTGACAGAGTGTATTATCATTTTAGATATGTAAGAAATCTTTCACTCGAAGACCTCATTTAGAAGAGCATATGATCCTTCACTCTCAGGATAAACCCTTTAAGTGTACCTACTGCGAAGAGCACTTTAAATCCCGATTTGCAAGACTGAAACATCAAGAAAAATTCCATCTCGGTATAGAAACCTCCTTCTGACATGTAAACAACAGATTTAAAGTAGAACCTTCCTCCACCATTGTATATCCTGATCAGTCTGGTTTCTACCCTACCTCCTTTTCCAGTTGTCGCTTTTGCAGCTCTGTGGGGGAGTTGTTGGGGTTCTTTTTGTTGCTTTTGGTTGTATTTTTACTTTTCTGTTCAGCTGTCTTTTTGAGGCATTGTATTATAGAATTGTAGAATGGTTTGGGTTCGAAGGGACCTTATCGATCATCTCGTTCCAATCCCCCTGCCACAGGCAGGGACACCTTCCACTAGACCAGGTTGCTCAAAGCCCCATCCAACCTGGCCTTGAACATTGCCAGGGAGGGGGAATCCACAACTCTAGGCAACCTGTTCCAGGGCCTCACCACCCTTACAATGAATCATTTCTTCCTTATATCTAATCTAAATCTACCCTTTTACAGTTTAAAGGCATTACCCCTTCTCCTGTCCCTGCATGCCCTTGTAAACAGTCCATCTCCAGCTTTCTTGTAGGCCCCCTCAGGTACGGGAAGGCTGCTAGAAGGTCTCCCTGGAGCCTCCTGTTCTTCAGGATGAACAGCCCCAACTCTCTCAGCCTGTCCTCATAGTAGAGGAGTTCCATCCCTCTGATCATTTTTGTGGCCTCCTCTGGACCCACTCCAACAGGTCCACATCTGTCCTGTGCTGGGGGCTCCAGAGCTGGACGCAGGTCTCACCAGAGCAGAGTAGAGGGGCAGAATCACCTCCCTCAACCTGCTGGCCATACTACTTTTGATGCAGCCCAGGATATGGTTGGCTTTTTGGACTGTGAGCGCACATTGGTGACTCATGTCCAGGTTTTCATCCACCAGCACCCCCACGTCCTTCTCGGCAGGGCTGCTCTCAATCCATTCTCCGCCCAGCCTGTATTTGTGGTTGGGACTGCCCTGACCCATGTGCAGGATCTTGCACTTGGCCTTGTTGTATTTTGCCTAAATAAATGCATGGTGGGGTTCAGGGAGCAGAAATTAAGATTAGCATTGTTTTAAAACTTTTTTGCATGAAACTGGTTCTCAGCTATGAAGTCATAGTCTTCTGAAGTTTTCCAAAGACCTTGTTCTTTCCTCCTGAAGTATTCCAAAGACTTTTTTTATTACTAGTAATTATTTCTGCTAGGTAGCAACTAGATCGGTGATAGTGATAGGAATTTGTTTTTTCGAACAGTCTTAAGTGGGCTTAATTACTTTTGACTATTAATTCGAAATTTTTGCTTTACAGTTATGAAACTTGCCAAAATACCACGTATTAGAAATAACTTGTGTGAGCAGAAAGCGCACAAAGTCTACTTAAAGTATGCTGACTGTACTAAACATTAATTATTTGTTAGACAAAACTTTTGTTTTGTAAATTGATTAGGGTTTTCACAATTAACCAGTCTGTGCATCTTGTTTGGTTTAAGTGACAGGTGATAGTAGTATGTGTGTCTGTCTCCTTGTAGGGCCTTTTCCTTGTGATATTTGCGGCCGCCAGTTTAATGATACAGGAAATCTGAAACGCCATATAGAATGTACTCATGGAGGAAAGAGGAAATGGACATGTTTCATCTGTGGAAAATCTGTTAGGGAACGGTAAGGAGCTGCGTGACTACTTGAACTTCAGCAGAACAGAGAAATGTTTAGCATGCTTTGTTTAATTCTGAATTTGTTTTGGCTTTGGGTTTTTAACATAAATGAGAATTTCGGAGGGCTAGTTTATTAAAACGTAGTGTCAGAGCCACAGGTAGCATGTGATTTTCTGATGACCTCTAAAATTATGGGTGACAGCCATAGGTAATTAGTTATGAGACAGAATTATATTAAGAAAGTCTTACCTCTAATTCACTTCGCTTAGGGTTCCTGTGTTGTGCAGGAACATCTTGCATTTGTTTGGGAAAGATGGTAAATATGCTGATGAAGACAGGAAGATGAGGAACACTGGTGAGAATGACTAAGAAGAAATTCGACTTGTACAAACATGGTTTCATGGAAGATGGAATAATACTGTACAGCCTTTGCTGCTGCTTCTCTAAATGGAGGGAAAAAATGTTAATTCAGCACTTTGAAAAGTGGAAGCTCTAAAAGTTGGCTCAATTCCCTCCCCCCCATTTTTATTCTACACGTTAGGGAAAAAAATGTGAATTTTAAACACTTGCTAACATGGCTTCAGTGCACATGTCTTGCACTGCTTTATAAAGGAGATCTTTTAAGTTTTCCAAATGGTGATCTATGGTTAGGTTCTGAAACAATGAGCCTTATAATTCTCTTTTTTTAATTATTTTGAAAGAATACAGCTTCATCTCAGTAACTGTGACTAAGATTCTAGTTATGTTCTATTTGGGGCATATGAAAAGATCTGAGTTTGTGTACTGCAGTATATTTTCTTGGTTTTCATTTTTTTTTCCAATGACTGGCAAAGACCCCTGAGAGTACTGTATGAGGAAGATTTGTCCCTAATGGGTTTTGTTGGTGGTGTGTGTTTTCTAGTAGTTTCATCCATAGGTATACATGTATTAAAAGAAAACGTACTAATGCAATAATGAAAGGGTGAACAAAAGCACAGGTAGTCTTTCAATTCTATAAAGATCACTTTGAACTGCAAGAAGAATTTCTGTTTTAAAAAGTCAGTATGTTTACACACTTCAAGTTTCATTTACGTTATGTAAGGCAGTCAGATATTTAAATGTTGCTGCTCTCATTAGAAAATATAAGATTTTTGTGTAAAGCATAAAAAAATCTTTGAAAAGTAGTATAATAAGTACTGGAAGAAGATTAAAGAATTTTACCTTTTGTTTAGTTCACACACCAGCTGTGTGTACAGTAAATTTTATTGTCTGTTTCCTTTGCTTGAGAGGAATTTTCACCTGCATGCACTTTTCTTTTCACATTGGAAAGGCAATAGTAAAAGTAGACTTACATATGTATATGTATGTATGTGTGTATGAATATATATGTACTTAAATAAGCTCTGTTCTGAGTTACGTTAAATTAACATCCATAATCCAGATTTCCTTCGAGTCTGGCTTTATACACACAGTAGCATGGAAATTATTACATAGAAAATAGTGTAGAAATTGATGCTTTCTTTAATGTATGTTGTTCAAATGTATGTTGGGATGGTGTTTGGTTTCTTTGCTTATATCATCTCTAGGCCCAGCTGGTTCAGTAAATCATAGATAGGTTGCCATACTGCCTTTGAATGTGTGGGTATGTGTGTGTATCTGAAAAAATTGATGCAGTTATTTGGATATATTGTGAACCATCTGTTAAAGAAATTGAGAAACTGATCATCTGTTTCACATGGCAGCGACTGCTTAAAATTAAATTTTATCGCCTTTGTTAAACAGAACAACTTTGAAAGAACATCTGAGAATTCACAGTGGAGAGAAGCCTCATCTTTGCAGTATTTGTGGGCAGAGTTTTCGTCATGGAAGCTCTTACAGGTACAGATTTTTATTAAACAAGCTGGTAAACTGGCATTTGTGTTATCAACAAATTCTTTGTAATATATGTGATTTGATGTATTCTGATTCTGAGAGCATGAGTAAATGCTTTAAACGTGCTTAAATATTGAAAATATATTAACAACCTGTGAGAAGTCATTTAATTTTTAATACAAGACATTAGTGGTTTAAACGCAGACAGAATCCCATACAAATCTTGCATCAAAGCTGACTTTCTTGCACATCTAAAACTTTTCCACCTTTGTTGATCAAAGAGAAAATAAGCGGAGGACTGAAATATCCTGCTAAATTAAGATCAAATACGAGATTTTAGCTCTGTGCTCTCTTGCTTTCTGAGAGCAGTTTAAGCCATACCTCAACTGGAAGTTATTTCCTGATATTTGTGCGAAGCACTAAAGGCTGTGTTTTCTGGTATTTTGCATTGAATTAGTAGTACAGATGTTAACAAAATTGCATTTTATGGTTATGTTTATGACTATGAATACACAGACTTCATCTAAGAGTCCACCATGATGACAAGAGATATGAATGTGAAGAATGTGGGAAGACATTTATTCGGCATGACCACCTGACAAAACACAAAAAAATACACTCAGGTAGGCATTTTATTTGAAAATTGGCTTCGAAATTACTATTTTGAAATAAGATCAAATAAAAAATTAATTATGGAATTTTTTTTCAGTACGTGCATTTTTTTAGGCCTGTTAAAAGTTCCTCTCCCTATTTTTAAGGTCTACTAAAGTAGGGTTAATATTACCTCTTTCCAAGGTTTAAAGGCCAAGTGTTTCCTCCATGTTAACATAGAAAGCCAAGGGACAGTCAAAAACATGTAACAGTGAATTGCTTTAAAAATAATAATTAATAAAAGCAAAAGTGAAAAAGGAGGATTTTTAAATGAGTTCAGATTTCTTTTTTTTAATAGCAATTGTGTGAAACATTATTACCGCAACACAGAAGAAGCTGTCACAGGCTCTGTCAAAGTTTGTACACTGATCACTTTAATGTAAGAACACCTAAGAGGTGTTTCTGAAGTCTCTGCTATGGAGAAGAGGGAAGGAAGGAGAGTGGTGGGAGTCAACCGTGACAACAGCCAGATGGGGATGATCAGGAGGAAGAAAAAAAATCATTCTGTTGCACTGAGAGCCAAAAGGTTATCAAATGTATAGGAAGAGCGAAGAGTCGCTAGGGACTTTTCCATTTTCAGGACAAGATCCAAAGAGAATGTGGCCTTCTAGGAGGCAAAATACTTTCTAGGCAGCATGCAAATATGAAAGTGATCAGAGTCTAAACTTCTTGAGCCTTTCTTTTGATGACGGCTTCTTTTTTGGTGCTTGAAATTATAATGCTTGCTATAAAATAAAGAAATCTTTGAAAACTCAAGTACAAAAAAAAAAAAAATCCTCTTTTCTACTCTATTTGCTTTTCCCTCCTCTAGAAAGTTACATTCTTTGACTGTCCACACTCCTCCTACTTACATGAGAAGAAATATTGTGCCACTTTGTGGAAGATCTCAAGATGACTAAAAAGAATCAAGATACTTTTAAACAGCAGCATAAAAGAAAAAGGTAACTACGTAAATCAGGATAATAAAGAAGATAAATACTGTGATGTAATTTTAAGTTCTAAAAAGTAGTAGCTGAAAATAATAGGTATGTTTAAGTAAGCTTCTGTTTTAAAGTCTGTGAATTATTGAAGGTGTCACATTTCGAGTCATAATGAAGAAAGCGGATTCCTAGTCATTGCCTTGTCTCTCTCATGCAGTGGGTGCTTGGGGAAGTGTGCCTTAACTGATGAACATGAATTTCTTTCTAGAAATGACAAATGGTCAGTAATAGTTGCATGTAACAAGTAGTAAAAATCCTTACTCTTATAGAACCAACCTACCTCCTGAATTTTGTTCTCTGATAACAGAGAATCCTTCTCTGAGTAGGGTATGGAAGAGCTTGATTGGCTGGACTTTGTGAACATGGATCTACCGCATGTCTTACAATTACAGCTCTTAGACATTTAATAAGTTCCAGAAGATTTAACCAAAATGTATTGAATTTTGCCCTTGTAGGTGAAAAAGCACATCAGTGTGAGGAATGTGGAAAATGTTTTGGCCGTAGAGATCACCTTACTGTTCATTATAAAAGTGTTCATCTGGGAGAAAAAGTCTGGCAGAAGTAAGTGTGGGGTTTGTATAACTGCGTAAATACTTCTGTAGCTGATTTTGTTGGGACTTGCATGTTTGTGCAGAATTCTATCAGTCTGTGTATTTGTCAGGCCCATTACCTTAGTCTTGATAGAGATATCATTATTATGGTTTGAAGTGGGTGTCAGAAAATTGCCTTCACAATTTAAGTAAGATGTTTTCTTTGTAGCATAATAAAGTAAATAAAAACATAAAAAAGGATCAAAAGGATGGTTTGCTGTAATACTGTTATTGCAGACTAGTTAAGAATGAATTATTAAACATCATTTAAGCACTGTGAGAACTATCCCACACTTAGGTATTTTAGAAGCTGGTAGCAGATTAGTGGCTGAAAGTAGGTAAAAACTTTGAAACCTGAGTTATGTCTGTAAATTGAAAATGAAATAGGGTTTTTAAATTCTTGAGGTCCAAAAACAGGCCTTTCAGAGATTTTCAGATAAACTGAAACCTGGTTGTTTTTCAAATGATGTGTTTTAACTGCTTGTACTTACTAGCATTGTGTAGAAGCCATCATGGATGTGTCTGTGTTGAAATTATAGTACATTGTCTGCTTATTTGTTTGTTTTTTCTTGGTAGCCAGTAATCTAAACCATACTTTATTTATGTCATAATTCTGCCAAAGTGAAAGCCTCTGGTGGGTATTGTGCAAAAACTGTTACTTAAGGATGCTTTTGGGGTCAGAGAAGAATTTTTATTGGCTTTTGCTCTTTGAATACTAAGTGCCAGTCCCAGCAGAGAATAAGATAGAATATAGAAAAGAATCTAATTGAGCTTCTTGGTATGCAGATGCCAGGAAATATGAACATAAGTGAGGAAATTCGGAAGCTTTGATATTCATCTATTTTGCAGCTGAAGATTTCAAAAAGGACTGTGCACATAGCTTTAGTGTTAATTGTTTTTTTTAAAAAAAAGTATCTAACATGAAATGTCTTTTCTTCTTTAAAGGTATAAAGCAACATTTCACCAGTGTGAAGTCTGTAAGAAGGTTTTTAAAGGGAAATCAAGTTTGGAAATGCATTTTAGGACACATTCAGGTAAAAATAAAATAAACCCCAACAAAACCACAAAACATGTAGGAATGTATTTTTATGTATCAACATTGATGGACTTACTCAGTTCATTATGATTGTTGAGCATTTAGCAAAAGAGTAGCAGGAAGCAAGAGTTTTTATTCTTTCTCATGTTGGTCATTCCTGACTACTACCTCCTGAATATGTATGTTGAAATATTGGTAATCCTCAACACAGGTTTGTGGTGTGCTCTCTACACCTCTTGCTTTAGTTTATTGGTGTATGTTCTTGCCAAATTTACCAAGACCTTCTAATAAGTTTTGTGGTCCAGAGAGTACTACATTTCTAGTGGTGATCTAAACAGGGATTTGAAATTCCTTTGGAAAGGTTTATGTCCTTACATGTTTGACTTTGTTTTTTGTGCCTTATGTTTAGGGAAATCATTTTCCCTTTGAAATGTATAGAAGTACAAATCGAGCTCATCTAGTACCAGTATCATAACAGTTTAAAGACTGTTCTTTTTTATTTGGCTTGTATTCTGATGGTCTTTTTGTGTACCTGATAGAAATCCCAAATATTGAGAGAATTGTATGTAAGGAGAAGGGCATGCTAATATAATTTCTCAACAAACTTCTAATTGCTCCCTTAGTTCCAAAATTGGTGCTAAACATATGCCCTTTGTTTTCAGTAAAATTGTTTTATACTAGGTCTCTGTGCCATAATCCATGTATGTATTTGCATATTTGTGTGGCATGGTGTTATGCAGAATAAACAGTTCTAACTTCTCTGTCTTTACAGGTGAGAAACCCTACAAATGTCAAATCTGTAATCAGTCTTTTAGAATTAAGAAGACATTAACAAAACACATGGTTATTCATTCAGATGCTCGACCTTTTAATTGCCAACACTGCAACGCAACATTTAAACGAAAAGACAAGCTGAAATATCATATTGATCATGTTCATGGATCAAAGGCTGCAGAAGAGGCACTGACATCTTCTTCGGAGGAAAAGCTAGTCTCCTTACCAGTGCAGTACACCTCTGATGACAAAGTTTACCAAACTGAGGGTAAACAGTATGTGGAACAGTCCAAAGCATATCAATCAGAAGCCAAAACTTTGCTGCAGAATGTATCTACAGATGTGTGTGTGCCTGTGACTCTCGTACCGGTTCAGATGCCTGAGCCGCAAGCTGATCTAGTACAGCATACTACTCAGTCACATGGCATTCTTCCTCCACAGCCTGAGCAGACAGATTACCAACGAGCAACAGATCTATCATTTCTAGAGAAATATACTCTTACTCCACAACCTGCAAATATTGTTCATCCTGTAAGGCCTGAGCAGATGTTGGATCCTAGAGACCAGTCATATCTTGGAACTTTACTGGGGCTAGATACAGCTCCTACTGTACAGAATATTTCGAACAATGAACATTCATGATCAGACCATAACATTCCACCTAATTTACTAAGCCATTAGCCAACAGAAGGCTGATATGGCAATTGAGATTTATATTTTATATTTTATTTGGGCTCATGAGTCTTCTGCATAGTTTTGGGAAAACAGGTTTGTTTACATATTTTTTGAACATTTAGGCACATTTTGATGCATACTGAAAGAGTGTTTCTTGTAATTTTAAGAGTTTTTAAAAATCTTATAGATGGTCTTTTAAAAATTATGCTCTGAAGTATCTTTTAAGGATAGTGGCTGAAAAATTTAATTACATATCTGGCTATTTAAAAAAAATTGTTTGCCTTTCTGCATCTCACTTTGAGTTAATGTTTTAAGTGTAATAGAAAGCATTCTGGAAGAACAAGGACTATATCAAATTCATTAAAAGTTGTAAGGGCAGGCAGGGATATAAACCACAAACTTTGAATTATGTTTCATGTAGAAATGAAAATACAATTTTACTTGAACCCTCAGGTATTTTCAAAGGGTTTTAAAGTCTGATGGACTCTGGAGCCTCGTCAGTGGACACAGGAACTAGATTGTTCTGAAAAATGATTCAGATATTTTATGAAGACACTAACCAGGGTATTTGGTGATCCCCCTGAGTATAATTACGCTGCCTAAAAGTGGCCTCTTAATTCTTCCTTGATCTCTAATACTGAATTATGTGGGAAGATCTAGACAATGGTATTGTCTAATTTTTTAGAGGTAGTCCTATATAATTTTAATATGCTTTTTTTTTTTCTTACTTTTTAAATCTTGTTTGTCTTCTAAAGTGTGCCCCACACTCTAACTTTGAAAGAAATGGGAGTATTTGCGAGGTCATTTTGATCTAGTTAATCTATAAAGGATTGGCATGGTTTATCCTTGTTAGAGCAGAAGTTATAACAGGGTCCCACGTCAGCATACCCGTTTTCAGGTTAACCGTGACAGAGAAGAAATTTAAAGGCTGTTATTTCCAGAACAGTACTCAACTTCTATTTAAAAAAACCAAATAATCAGTAATTGGAATTCTCTTGTGAGTTGCTAGTGAAATTGTTTTGTTTCTCACTTTCTTGTACTGTGTTTATGAAACAAAGTCAAACTCTTGAGAGTATTATATGTCTTTAATTATTTTTAAGCTTTCTCTTTACTACACGTAAAGGTTTGTTCCAAAAGAACCATTTTGAGCTACAAGTCTAGTGTTATTCACCATGAAATCTAGTATAATTTAACCTCATCAAATAAGTCTAGTTTAAAAATAATTATTCTGTGTTTGTTTGGTGATATTATGCCAAAGAAAGTATCTGAAGTAATTGTATAATCTTCATTATTCCTCACAAGAATTACATATTAAGGCAAAATCTTCCCCAGTTTTCCCTATTCTTAAATTATTAAAAGAACTTTAAAATGGGAAACGGGACGTATGTGTATTATTGTAACTGTTAAATTTATCCAGTGACCTGAGCACAGGTGATCTGTGGTGAAAAGCTCGTTTATCATCCCAGTTCTCTCAACTCTAAATGGTATGGATCATTTAAAATCCTATGCAAATACTGCAGTGTTAGGTTCTTTTAATCCCTATCTACTTCAGTGTCGAGCAGTTTGCAGGAGAGGGGCCAGAGCTGCCTGAATGTTCATATTTTGAAGCTTGTACCCTAATGATTCTTAACCTAAACACACCAAAGATTTCTGTTAGCTGTTAAATAGTGGCAGAGTTATAGACTTTTAAGTGTTACCGATATTTGAATAGGACTTAGCCAAAGAAGCACAATAGGAGTCCTAAACTTTAAAAGTTCAGTTTCCAAAACAGGACTGCCTATGTTTAACAGTTGTATGTTTGTATCTCTGAAGTAAAATTTAGAGCTGTGCTCTGGGAATGTTCAGGCTGATGTGCTGTAAATATCCCTGGTAAGAAGCTGAATACTGGCAAACATACAGCAATAATGAGGCCGCTGAATGCCACCATCGGAAAGGACACTATCAAGTACTACCCTTCCTGCTTTCTAACTCCACCTTCTTCTCCTTTGAAAATAAAACTGGTTCTGTCATCTGTACACTCCATGGCTTGAAAACTGCTGCTTTATCTGTAGTTTTCAAGTCGGCATGTATGTATCATATTCATATTACTGCATGTGGATGTGAAACATGATTTCCAGCATTTGTAATTGTACTCTTGAAAATAACCCAACATCAGTGGTGTCAGTGCAGTTCTCGAACTATGTTTAGTTTTAGACCTTTGTCTAACTCTTTGTTATTTCTTGTCTTTGCTGTCCTACAGTAGAAAAAAATATTGTAGGATTTTGACAAAACAGTGGCTTAAAAATAGTTGGTAACTGATTTTTTCTTTTAAAGTCCCATTGGTTCGGAAGGCACTCTAGGAAAATACTAAAATGGAATTTGGAGCATATTTACTTGATAATGTCCTTTTTAAAATTCTTTCATGATTGTGCCTTTTATATGTATTCTGAATAATGGCTTTTTCTATAGTTCAGTTGATTATTCAGAAAACATTAAGGTCAATATCTTCCAAAGGGCTTCATGTTTTTGGTGCCCAACAAGAAACAGATTATAAAAAGACTCGTTTTTCAGAAAAACGAGTACTATCTTTGCTGTTTGGGTGACCAGAATTACTAGTCATTCCTGGATAAAATGACCTACTAGTTCTTTGGCGTTCTTTTATTTGCAGATAACCCTACTAGTTAGTGTTTTTACCTGCTGGTCAGGCTGGATCGTTGCCAGTTGACAGTGAAAGAAAATAGGAAAGCTTATGTGCTAGATACATAGTTTTTATTTTTTTAATATCATGAGCTATTATTCTTACAGCTTTACATCTATTTAAAATTCATATATGAGAAAACGTAAATTTTTGTGGACTGGTACTTCATTTGGTGGGTGGAAGCAGCTGATCTCTGCTCGGTGGAGGACAGTTCCTCGGAAGAGGACTGGAGTTGAAGAGCAGAGATCTGCACCTCACAGCTGCATGGGTTGAAGCTCCATAGGTGTCTGGTACCTCCATTTTAAAATGTGTATGTACTTATCCAGGAGTGCGCGTCCTGTTGATCTGGAGGATGCTTTTACAATAAAGGCTATGTTTTATCTGGCAGTCATTGACTCCGTTGACCATTTGTTGCCAAAGAAGGAAGAAGCAGGTCTCTTAAAAATATCTCTGTAGAGAGTGATCAGTGGCACGTTGCAAAAAGTTGTTTTTTTCCATATTGCTGACCTTTGGGGAGAAGAGTGGAGTCCCTGCTGGTACTTGAAACTGCTACATGGTTCTGAGAACTTACGGCACTCGTTCTGTTTAGGCATTGAAAACATTGAATTCTGTATTTTTTTTGCTGAACAAATTTCTGGTTGTTGACTGGGTTACTGCCTGTAATTCTTGAAGTGGATTTTATGTTCAGTTTATTTATATTTATATTGGAATTTCCTCTGAGCACTGACACTTTTCCTGCAGAGGTATGACTCTCATAGGTTCCTTTTATGCTGAACCTCAGTAATTGTAATGGTGATGATACAACTTCTGTAAGGCTGTGGTTTCCTTAAAAATATAGCGTGACTTCAGTCTGGATTAAAATTCAGGTAGTTATTTTTAAAGATGGGTCATGTCAGAACACAATGACAAAAGATTTATTTGCTGTCATCAAAGAGCTGAGCCTATTTCCCTAGTAACGAATGTGAAAGAGCATCCAGAACTCTGAAGAATGCTTCAAAGGTATCGCCTTGTAATGTGCTTGTTCAAACATGAAATGTGTTACGGAGTGCTAGGGAATAAATGACCCTCAAGTTTTTAAATTTTAATTGATGAAGTTCATGAATGTAGAATTGTGAATGAATTCTCAGAAGGCTGTTGTAGATGAATAGGTATATTTTTCCCCCCTGAAAAGAATAAAAGAGATGTGATTTTTTTCTATGCTGAGCATACATGCGTAACTGATCCAGATTGCGTGTTCTCCATATGACTGATGCTTAAGGGAAACAGTGCATTTATCTGTAGGTCCTTGTGACTGCTGTCACAGGCGATCTTCTTCTACAATATCATCTCACGGCGATTTGGCTGTTTAGCCGTGTGCACTGAAGAATGGCAGAATAATACAGCGTCGGGCAGTCGCCTTGCTCAAGCCCATAAGGACCTTTTGCCTGGTTCCTAGGAAATGTTTTGGTTTAAAAGATTTGGTGGGTTAAAGGTAGCAACGGCAAAACTTTTTTCCTGCCCCATAACCATTTTGATCATGTTTAAATGTTGGTCCTTTTATATGAAAGAATGAGGTGAAATAAACTCAATATTTTGTCACTGCTATATGGGATGATGTGCTTTAAATGTGATCTGTATAGGGTGGTATTTTAGATGGAAGTCTTTAAGTAAAGTTGTGTTTTTAGGGGAAATTCTTTGCTGTAAGGAAAAGTTAGGAAGTGTACTGTGAACGTAGACGGACTCAGTCCTATGTGTCATTTTGTTTGTTATGGAAAAGTAAAGTTGTCTCAACAGTGCTTGCTTCACAGGATTTCTGGCAGGGATGCTTGTGCTACCTTTTGATTTCTGCCTTTTTTTTATACAGCATGGAAACACAGTGTTCTGTACATCTTTCAGGAGCATTAAAACCGAAAGATAAACAGATGAGGCAAATTTTTTCATCAGCTCTGTGCGCGTCTCATTTGACTTTTTATTTTAAAATATTTTGTAAATTAAATTTATATAGAAAAATACCTGGCCTCGCTCATTTTTTTTT